TTAATTCTTCGTCTTCGTTAAACTTATCTTTTATTAATTGTACCACAGGTTCTGTTATGTTTTCGCAAATTTCATGCAAAAATATTCCTATCCAACACTTCATTACGAATACGATTTTTATAATCAATTACAATCTTTAATTTTATTAGGTTAAAATGAAACTCTGAAAGAGCATATATATTCTGCAGTGCAATTGACATCATATACAAAAATAATATAATAATAACAGTTTATTCATATCATGAAATACCGCTGTAAGATACAAAAATAATAGATAAAAAATGATCCAAAGTATAATTAATCAATTATAAATATTAATAAATTATAATTGAATATGCAAAAAAATGAAATTTTAAAACACTTATATCTCTTAAACTAGATTCGGGACCAAAACGAAACTTTCGGTGTGATTGTTTATTTAAACTAAAATTAATTATAATTTTAAGAAAATCTGAAACTTCATCAATAATACTCTGTATTCGGTGAGTTTTTATTTAATTTAATATTTATGTTTTCTTGTAATTAATTGGGCTGAATCCATTTCAAAACGTACAGGCCGACCACCTTCAGATTGTAGATTTTTCTGTCGATGAAATATGTTATTCTACATAAAAAATAAAGAGACACTTTTTTTTTTATTTTTCATAAAAATTATGTTTAACGAAGTTATGGTCATTTGAAGTTTGAGTGGTAAAACTCGAAAGAACAATGAAAAAAAATTGTTTCGCCTGTAATTTTTTTTCTAATGAATGCAATCAAATTATTTTTCTTGGATCTTGTAGGGGGTATATTCCTCTTTAAAATCTCATTTGAAATTTGAAAAAAGATTCAAAATTAACAAAACAGGAGATGATTTTCTAAAAATCATTAAAGTCAATTTTCTCAAAAACCCCACTTTTTTTTCTCTCAAATTTTTACCATAAATTCTTACCAATATGAAGAACCAATCCTAGGAGTTTCAAGCGGGCTAAATAATCCTGGTAGTAAGGAGAAATTTTTTTCGAAATATTTTTTTTTTACGAAATTTGAAATGGTTGACGTGCAGTTTCAAGAATAAATGAACTAACTTAAATGAGTCATTTTATAACCAACAATAATGTATGTATAGAAAATAACCATAAAATCACTTTTTGCTAACAGGTTCTAAACATCAAAAAATTTATAATTTGACATTTTAAGTATCGTTAAGACCAATGATAATAAATATATAATTAATAAAAAGGTGAAAAAAGAAAAAATATTTTTTATAAATATTGTGATTCTTTCAGTAATATACTCTTGAAATATTTTACAATTCAAATTATCATTCATAAATTTTTTAAGGGGGTGTCCTGAATTAGAAAGCATAAAAAAAGCTGTTTTTTGAGAATTTTTTTTCGAAGGGGATAAAAACTGTCAGCCTAGTTAAACCTAAGGTGCATTTTTGTAGATGTTTGAAGAGTATAAAAAAATTTTAACTACATGATTCGATGAACTGTTAAAGAGTTATCCGAGAGCGCCTTGAAAATGCAGTATCTAATTGGCGGGAAAGATAGCAAAAAAATTTATCGACAGATTGGATCGGTTCAAGGCTTATTCTCTTCCGTATAATATTCTCTTCTAGTTGAACCTAAAACATGGTTCAAAATCCTTTTTCAGAAGATTTTATAACACTTTAAAGTGATTTTTTTTGTCTAAAAAATACATTTTTTTCTTCAAACTTCAATAAAAATTATTATTTCACGACTTTTACGTGTTTTTATAGGTTCAACTGGAAACTACATATGTAAAAATTGGAAAAAAATTTTTTCCTTTTTTTTGGTCAAGAATTGCGATCTGTATCTTTCCCGACAATTGGATACTGAAGTTTCAAGGCGCTCTCGGAATAGGCTGATAACTCCTTAACATTTCATCGAATCATGTGGTTAAAATTTTTTTAACACTCTTCAAACATCCATAAAAATGTACCTTAGGTTTAACTAGGTTGAGATTTTCTTTTTCCTTTAAAAAAAAATTATCAAAAAACAGCTTTTTTATGCTTTCTAATTCAGGACACCCCCTTAAAAAACTTAAAGTTTTAATTTTCAATTTGGAAATTAATATTTGCAAATTTCATTTTAATATAAATTGGTTATGTAAAAATTCAAGATAGTATATTTTATAATAATTCAAATATTAAAAAATTATTTTTTCAAATTATTATGAATTATTTTCACATATAAATAATTAAATATTTTTATTGCACATTAAAACACATTTAAAGTAACTGAATATTGGAATACATTATTGTTGGTTATAAAATGACTCACTTCAGTTAGTTCATTTGTTCTTGAAACTGCACGTCAACCATTTCAAATTTCGTAAAAAAAAAAATATTTCGAAAAAAATTTCTCCTTACTACCAGGATTATTTAGCCCGCTTGAAACTCCTAGGATTGGTTCTTCATATTGGTAAGAATTTATGGTAAACATTTGAGAGAAAAAAAGTGGGGTTTTTGAGAAAATTGACTTTAATGATTTTTAGAAAATCATCTCCTGTTTTGTTAATTTTGAATCTTTTTTCAAATTTCAAATGGGATTTTAAAGAGGAATATACCCCCTACAAGATCCAAGAAAAATAATTTGATTGCATTCATTAGAAAAAAAATTACAGGCGAAACAATTTTTTTTCATTGTTCTTTCGAGTTTTACCACTCAAACTTCAAATGACCATAACTTCGTTAAACATAATTTTTATGAAAAATAAAAAAAAAGTGTCTCTTTATTTTTCATGTAGAATAACATATTTCATCGACAGAAAAATCTACAACCTGAAGGTGGTCGGCCTGTACGTTTTGAAATGGATTCAGCCATTGATAAAAATCGCAAAATTAGGTTATTTAACGAACCAACTTTAAAAACATATTTTACCTATTATTTTAATTTATTTAGTAGTTTAATCATTAAAATCTAAATAATCAACCAATTTTAAACAAGAATCGATAATATTTTTTACACTTTTAATAATTTTTCTTTTTTTTATACATTTTCTAATAGCTAAAAAAGTGACACTTTTGCGAATCCTTTCCACTTCAAATTCATATTTTAAGAAAAATAAATTTTTATTTCAAATAATTCTTTTTATTTCATTCCCTAGATATTATACAGAATCATTTCTGAAAAAATCAATTTTTTCTAAAATTCGGCCGCAACGACTTTATTCGAAATATAATGGTCTGACCCTATAATAAAAAAATAAAAATGAGAAATTTCATGCTACAGAACAGTGAATAAAAAGAAAAAGCTAATTGAAAAATGAAAAACCAAAGAAGAAGCTTAACAGCATGTGATTGTTAGGTTACGTGATCGCCCAATATTAACTTTTCGACCACTTTTCTTGTTAAATACTGAATGAATTAAGTTGATATTTTATAGAGAAGTCTAAATTATGTTTATGAAGGGTTGTGATGTACAAGAATTGTAATACTTTTGAATTAATTATTATAAAATACTTGAAAATCGTTAGAAAATACGATCAATGACGTCACTCCTAACTTCAAATTTTCTAACGATTCACAAGTATTTTATAATAATTAATTCAACAAAATATCACAATTTTTGCACATCACAGCCCTTCCTCATCATCTTTTAGACTTTTACATAAAATATTAATTAAAAATTAAAATCTAAAACTAAAAAAAATCAACACAAAATTATACGAAAAAATTGGTCGAAAAATTAACATTGTCATGATCACGTAACCTAACAATCACATGTTGTTAAGAGCAACTTAGAAAGCAAGAAGACTGAACAGCCTACACGCTAAAAAATTTATGAACAGTGACATAGCAAAAGTACAATATTTAAAAAATAAGGAAATCTATTTAATAGATTACTTATAACGTTTAACAAGTTTAAATATAGTCACTATTTTCATTTTCTTAAGGAAATTGAATATCTCCTATGATAGTTAAAATAAATACTGTTTCAGAGATATTGTATTTATATTCTATTCATAATATATATTTAGTATAGTTAAATCTCATAGAAAATTTTATTTTCTCTATTCTCGCGAAAATGGATTATCGCTAAGGCGATATTAACTATACTTATAACTATTCCAGAGATTATTTTCGTTAGTTTATACAAAGTTTTTTTAGCGTGTAATCTGATAAATATTCATAAAAAGAAATCTTAAATTTATAGTTACATTTTTTAAAGAAAAAATCTTTGATAAATAAAATCGGTAATAGATTTTTTAAGAGATGTTTATTTGTTGATTTAAGACATTACTTTTTTAAAATAATTTAATTTATTTTTAAGACATCTAAAATGTGTTCTTTAAGTATTGTAAGAAAACTTTTTTATTTAATGTTCTCTATGCAATAAGAAAAAAAATCATTCTATTTTTCATGTGAAAATATTGTTTTACAACTTAAAAAAAAATTCTATGTTTTAGCAGTACATTCTTTTGTTATTTAAGTTAAAACTCTTCCAAATATCCAAATCGACTTTTTCGACTTTTCTGATGATTTCAATCGACTAAATCGACTTTTTTAAACTATAAAAGTCGATCCGAGGCCTGAAAATTTGTTCAAAAATGAAATACAGTTCTATGATTTCAATTATTTAACCTAATTATTTTTAGGGAAAGAATTTTTTTTTAAATTCTACAAAAGCATCGTGTAATACTACTGCTTAGCTTTAAAATCTACTTTTTCAAATATTTCTATAATTTTCTTAAATTCAAAATTTTTAGTTATGTAAACTTACTCGTTGCGATAAAGTTACTTTTGGATAATTTTTTTCTTCTGATTTTGCTTATATAAAGGATTTTGGGTTTACTAATATCGAATCTCATTGTGGGTGGTTGTGGGTTTTTGAAGTGGTTTGAAGAGTTTTGATATTGAAAACACAAAAATAATTTTCTATAACAAGGCAGAAAAACTGTGAAAGTAGTTGAAAACATGATTGTGTGATAAAAATATAGCTTTGGCTTAATGAGTGAGTTTGCATAATTAAAATTCTTGGTTTTTTTATTAGAATGGAATTAAAGAAGAAGATATGATGCCAAGGAGAATTTGTCTTGTTTGTGGTGATGTTGCAAGTGGCTTTCACTATGGTGTTGCATCTTGTGAGGCATGTAAAGCTTTCTTTAAACGAACGATACAAGGTAAAAAAAATGAATTATCTTTATTTGAGGGGTCGCATTCCATAAGGGGTTATAGATGTATAAGACGTTGCAGATTTGGCCCCTGGTATAAGGTCGCAAATTTCAACTAATTTAAATAAAGTTTTTTTTAAATTATAGGTAAAGTAATCGATTACATAATTTAAACTTGAATTTAAAAAAAAAAGGATAAAAATATTGAATAGTTCCAAAGTTATGTCTCGTCAAAGTGACGTCCATCTGAAAAACATGGTTTGCGGTGACCAACACTATGGAAATCTGATTCGTCTTAAATCAAAAATTGAAACGGTTATACATTTATTGAAAGATTATCTAGTCTTTAATCGAAGGATTTAAAAAATATATATGAGACGTTTCACGTCAACCGGCCCAGACCTCCATCCAAAATTCTAATCAACGAAAATCAACTTATTACAGCTCAAAATAATCGTCAGCTCATACTGCTTCGAATAAAAAGTGGCGAATTAAAAAATTCAAAACGGCGTCCTTACTGTACCATGTTTTGCAAATTTTTTTAATAACTCAGCAAACAAATGTATTAATTACCTTGAGAAAATAATTGCATCTTGTTGGATAATGGGTCACTCTTATGTTTTTGGGGCGCTGATTACGAATCTGAAGACAGATTTTCAAAATTTTTAAAATTCAAGATGGCGGATCCAATATGGCGGACATTTTTATTAAAATTTGATCAGATTCGCTTGAAACTTGCTACTCGAGGATTTTTGGGGTCACTGATTACAAATATAAAGTCAGATTTTAAAAATTCAAAATGGCGGATCCAATATGGCGACCAAATTTTTTTAAAAATTATCAGATTTGCTTGAAACTTGTTACTCGGGGGTTTTTGGGGTCGCTGATTACGAATCTAAAGTCAGATTTTAAAAATTTTCAAAATTCAAAATCGCGAATCCAATATGTCGACCAAATTTTTTTTAAAAATAATCAGATTTGTTTGAAACTTGTTACTCGGGGGTTTTTGGAGTCGCTCATTACGAATCTAAAGTCAGATTTTAAAAATGTTTAAAATTCAAATTGGTGGATCCAATATGGCGAACAAAAATTTTTTTATAATTATCAGATTTGCTTGAAACTTGTTACTCGGGGATTTTTGGGGTCGGTGATTACGAATTTGAATCTGGATTTTATAAAATAAGATTGGTGGTTCCAAAATGGCTAATAAAGTATTTAAAAATTGGATGGATTCGCCACCCTTAACTCCATAAACCACCCCTTTCACATTATTCAATTAGTTGTTTTAAATTTTTCTTCCATACAAATTTAGGCTTCATTTAAAAGATCTTAAATATCATAAAAGTAATTTTTCAAAATACTACCCTTAATCCTCAAAACTACCCCTTAATATAGAAATTTAATTTTTTTTAAAATTTACTCTACATAAATCTTTTATAATTTTAGCTAATTTGAGGCTTTTAAATAGCCTTAAATTAAATTTTTAATAATCTGCCCTTAAATTACTATTTTAAAATTTTTCCTTTCCTTTATAAAAATTGTCTCTATATCATTTTTTTACAATTTAAGCACAACTGAAACTTTCAAATATTCTCAAACTTAATTTCAAAAACTGTCCTTAACTCTAAAAACCTTAACCTCAAAAATCAGCCTCATTACATTTAAGTTTATAAATGCAAACGAATTTTACAATTTCATCCGCCATATTGGCTCAACCATTTTGAATTTTTAACAACTTTTACATCAGAATCGTGATCTGTGACCTGATTTTTAAAAGTTGACGTAAGATTCGTGATCATCGACCCCAAAAATCCCCGAGTAACAAGTTTCAACCAAATCTGATAATTTAAAAAAAAATTTTGGTCGCCATATTGGATCCACTATTTTGAATTTAAAAAATTTTTAAAATCTGACTTTATATTCGTAATCAGCGACCCCAAAAACCTCCGAGTAGCAAGTTTCAAGCGAATCTGATAAAATTTTAATAAAAATGTCCGCCATATTGGATCCGCCATCTTGAATTTTGAAAATTTTTAAAATCTGACTTCAGATTCGTAATCAGCGACCCCAAAAACATAAGAGTGACCCATTATCTAACAAGTTGCAATTATTTTCTCAAGGTAATTAATACATTTGTTTGCTGAGTTATTAAAAAAATTTGCAAAACAAGGTACAGTAAGGACGCCATTTTGAATTTTTTAATTCGCCACTTTTTATTCGAAGCAGTATGAGCTGACGATTATTTTGAGCCGTAATAAGTTGATTTTCGTTGATTAGAATTTTGGATGGAGCTCTGGGCCGGTTGACATGAAACGTCCCATATATTTGACAAAATGGCGACCTGTCAAAGTTGAACGTTCGATTTTCTTTAAAAAAATCAATCCTTCGATTAAAGACTAGATTATTATATATTGAAAAAGTATGTTAAATTGCAGGACAATCGGTTCAGTAGTTTTTAAGTAAGAGTGGTCACCGACTTCGAAAATGTAGTTTTGAGAAAATCGTGTTTAAAGTTTTAACTTACATTTACGTAAAGGTGAAATTTTTTTTGGAAATCAGATAGAATCATCAATTCCGGGGCCATATAAAAGTTCTTCAGCAGATGAAGCTGCTTCCAAAATCCCAATTCAAATATAAAGGTATAAAGACCCACACGGGCGTTAGCCTGTTCTCGACCGACCTGACGCGCCTCCCTTTCAGCCAGTATATCTCATTTAATTTTCACCGGATCATTTAAAAATTTTGTAGACACATTTCTGACAACATATACTCTAAGAAAATGCAAGACAAAAAAAATCGATTTTTTGAAAGTTACAACTGCGAGTGCCCCCTTAAATTTGTCAAAAAAAATTTGGTTGTTTAAATAGGTATTTAATTAACGAAATAAAAAATAATTTTCATGAACTTTTAAAGAGTGATATTTTTCATAAACAGATAAAATTTTATTTTAAAAGTTCTTAAATCACTTAAGCAACAATTAAGATAAACTTTTTTTGTAATATTACAGTAAAAAACATTAATGTATTTGTTATAAACAAATAAGTTAATACATTTTTAAAAGTCGATAAATATGCCTGAAATTAATTACTTAGGGGTTTTTAAGGTCGCTGATTAAGAATATGACATTAGTTTTTCAAGATTCAAAATGGCGCATCCAAAATTGCGACCAAATTTTTATTAAATTGGTCGGATTCGCATCAAACTTGTTACTTAGGAGTTTTTGGGATCGCTAATTACGAATATTATATTAGTTTTTTAAAATTCAAAATGGCGGGTCCAGAATCCTATCTCGGGCGATAGCCAGTGTTTCATTGAACCTAAATGGCTTTGGTTTTTGTGTTTTATTATTATTATTCTTCTATCAATAGTCATCAACGCATATATACAACATGTCTTTTTTCCATGATATTTTAATAGTGTGAAAGTAAATAAATAAATTTGTTCTAATATAATAAGTAAAAAAATTATTTCTCTACAGTTTATGTGTGTTATATTAAACACAAAAAATTTAAATCGATTTATTCCATAGGGATAAAAAAAATATAGGAAATAGCTCTATTTTGGTACTTGTGATGGTATGACCCTTTAATGTAAAACACAGATGCTAAAGAGATTAACAACAATATGTTGTTAATTAAATTAATTAAATTAAATTATTTTTGTTATAAAAATATGTAATTAAAACGGACTTTTATGATTTTGGATATTTTTTTACTAAATACATGATAAAAGCTGATGCACACAGCAATATGTAAACAAATATGACCTTGATGCCATTTAGGTCAATGCAACACTGGCTATCACTCGAGATAGAATTTTGAACCCGCTATTTTGAATTTTAAAAGACTAATATCATATTCGTAATCAGTGACCTCGAAAACCCCCAAGTAATTAATATCAGTCAGATTCATTGACTTTTAAAAATTTATTAACTTATTTGTTTATAACAAACACAATAATTTTTTTAACTATAATATTACAGAATAAGTTCATCTTAATTGTTGCTTAAGTGATTTAAAAACTTTTAAAATGAATTTTTATCTTTTTATGAAAAATATCACTCTCTAAAAGTTCATGAAATTTATGTTTTAGTTTGATATTTAAATATTTAAACAACAAATTTTTTTTTGCTAAATTTAAGATAATTAAAATGTAGTTGATTAATTTACCTATAATTTAAAAAAAAACTTTATTTAAATTGGTTGAAATTTGCGACCTCTACATTGCATTTATTCCAGGGACCAACTCTGCGACGTCTTGGACATCTATAATCCCTTATGGAAAGCGGCCCTCATTTGTTGTTACTTATTTAACTTTTTAATAATTGATCTAATATCAAACCATAAACACCTAAGTGGGGTTCCTTCAATAAACTAAAGTATAAATTGGTCTAAGATACTGTCTGGTAGAAGATCATGAATTCAATCGTAAAATAGCTACTAATTTTACAGGAAACATTGAATACACTTGTCCTGCTAATGGTGAATGTGAAATAAACAAACGAAGAAGAAAAGCATGTCAAGCTTGCAGGTTTCAAAAGTGCTTAAGACAGGGAATGTTAAAAGAAGGTGTTAGACTGGATCGAGTCAGGGGTGGTAGGCAAAAGTACAGACGATCTACAGATCCATATGTACCTGGAAAATCTACAGCTCTGGAAGGTAATTTTATGAAACCATACTTTCATGTTTAATTCCTACTTGCAATTGAGTTATTCTATACCAATTAGACCAAAGTTGTACTATATTGCATTTTTATACTCTTATTTTTTTTAAATTTCATAGTTTTAACAGTTTTTAATCGATTATGATAAATTTTAAATGTGGTACACACAACAAATAAATGTTTTTCATTAAGTTTAGAATTAATAAAAAAAATTTCAAAACTGTAATCTTATCATTCTGAAGTTATTTACTTATTTATAATATTAGTAATTTAAAGAGTAAAAATTATATTACATTATAAATAACAATTATAATTTTAGACAATAAAATGATAGAAGCATTAATAGCTTGCGAACCAGATTTGCTTCAAGTTTCAAATCTTTCTCACAATATGGACACTGACCAAAGAATTCTGGGACAATTGTCTGATCTTTATGATCGTGAATTAGTAGGCATAATTGGTACGTTTTTTACTTATTTGTTAAATGAATATTATTTAAAGCATTATGACTTATTCTTTTACATTACAGGTTGGGCAAAACAAATACCAGGATTCAGTAGTTTAGCTCTAAATGACCAAATGCACCTTTTGCAAAGTACTTGGGCGGAAATTCTAACTTTTAGCTTAGCTTGGAGAAGCATACCAAATACAGGGAAACTTAGGTTCGCTCAAGACTTTATACTAGATGAAAATCTTTCTCGAGAATGCCATTGTGTGGATCTTTATATGCACGTAAGTTATATAATACTAGGTAAATTTTTCCCGCTCGCTAGCAGTCTCTCTCTCAATGCTCAATATGAGCAATTCCATGTGAGATTGAGAGGATCTACTCTTCGGTTTCTTTCGTACTACGTTTTTGGGTAAAGGTAAGGGGTCAAATTAAGCATACCATTTTTTTTTCAGTTACTCATAACTTTTTCATTTTTAGTCCAAGAATAAAGTTTCTTTAACGAATTTTGCTCGGGAAATATTGAAGTTAAAAAAAAACCTTATTTTTTTAATTAACTAATTAATTAATTTTAAAAACACCATTCCAGTGTTTATCGAAATACGCATCCAACGAGCCTATATGAACTATTTCGGATAAACGGAATTTAAATTAATAATTAATAACATCGGAAGGAGTGAAGATAAACAGTTAATTCTTTTTTTATTTGAAAGATCATTTAATTCAGTGTCAAAAAAATATTAAGTATTACTAACAATAAGAATCGAAACTTAAAAAGGAGAGAGTGGGGAGTTGTGTTCCGGGTTATGTTTTTCGATCAAAACTATTATATAAATTTTTTTTTAATATTCTATTATATAAAACTTTTAGTACACGTATAAACACAACTTTTGGCATAATCGATTAATTAAAATTAAAAACGGAAATAGAAATTTTGCTTGTTTTTCGAAAATACTGGTATAATAATAATAAATATTTTTTTTTAAAAATTTGTATGATCAATTTGACCCCTTACCTTTACCCAAAAACGTAGTATGAATGAAATCGGAAAGTGGACCCCTCAATCGAAGATACGAATTTTGTTTATTTTTAATCGAAATTTATTTTGGAGTTTCATTTTTTTTCAAAAATATCAATATCTTACCAATCGAAAGAACATCAAAGAAGCTTTCGAAACTGATATTGATAAAACTTTTTTATTTTGATATTTAAGAAGAAAAATTATTAAAGCATGCGGTGTACCGTTAAATTCCAAAACTTTCACCCCCTCCCCTTCGGAAAATATTTGACTAAATGAAAAAATATTTTTACCAAAGATTAACATCTATAAGTACGACAAATGCCCTAAATTTAAGCGTGATCGGAGAAAATTTTTTTTGAACATTCCCAGGTGCGAATTTGGGTCGGCAGCCAGAGTTGGTAAGTCGGACCATGGACGGCACATCTATGGCTGCCAAGACGTCGGTAGTCAAAGTTGTCCCGATTTTGGTTACTACTTTCACCAAAAGTTGGGCCGACTATGGCTACCAAAGTCCAAAATCCAGAACTTCAAATGGTCGGGCCGACTCTGGCCATAGTCGGACCGATGGCACAAAAAATCATTCTTATGGATAATCTTATTTTTATACTGTTTAATATTCTTTTACAATATTCTAATTTTACACGAAAAGAAAAATTGTAGTAATATTTAATATTTTGAAATCAATTTTTACTACAGTTGGTAGCATGTAATGGAAACTAACGGATTTCATTAATTATTATCACTTTTAAGAAAGCCTGAAATAAAAATAATATTATATAATATAGTTAGAAAATAAAAATTAGTAAAGTTATTTGACAAATTAAAATTTTACTATAGGAAACTCAAATGACAATATTTATTACGAATTTTAGAAATATCATTATAAAATGATTACGTTAATTGCTTCAATATTTTCATATTTTGGTATAGCCGATACGAAAATTTCAGAAAAGAAGGTTGGGGAAGAGGGACCGAAGGCAACCGAGCGAGTCTGAACGAATTTGACCGATTGCTAACGAAAAGTCATAAGGATTACTCCTGTATTTGGGTATTTTTTCCATTCATTCTATTTCAGTAATATTTATTAAAATGATTTGTTTTTCGAATTTATGTAAAATATATATTGTATTTTTATACAAAACCATACCTGGATCCTCTGCTACAATAGAGAACAATAAACAGCGATGACCCAATCCTTCGACAGGTAGCAAATAATGAAAAAAAAATTTCTTTTATTTTAACGTCGTTTTCAATTTTTCGTATAGTTTTAGCAATCGAAATGCTGAATTTAAGACAACACCCTATATATGTTAATTGTATAATTAATAATTTTTACATTTTTGACAAAGGTCGGCCTAACTTTTAGCTATTATGTTATCAATTTGCTAGTTCAGCCGACCATCGACTAACAAAGTTGAACCAACAAATGTTAAACCGACTTTCGTGCCCATGATCGGCTAAACTTTGGCGTCCATGGATGGTCCGCCTTTGGTACCAATGGCGGGTCCAAGTTTGTCAGCCACTGGTCAGCGGATGTTATCAATTTGCTAGTTCGGCCGACCATCGGCTGCCAAAGTTTGGCCGACCATGGCCTGACCACGAATTCGCACCTGGGTTGATTACTTCACGTGTGATCCCCCAAATGTATAAACAGGGTGTCGCGGTCAGGGAAATTAAATAAAAGTCAGGAAACTTTTTAAAAATTTACAAAAAATGAACATTTTTATTAATTTTTAAAAATTTTCGGTGCAAGACAAAGTTTCTAATGCTAATAAATAAAATGTTTTTTATTATTTTACAGATACTTTAATATTTGATAATTTCCATTTTTTTAATATTATAGAAATGTGGAAAGAAGGTTAGGAAAAAGACAGGGAATGTCAGAGAAAAGTCAGGGAATTATTTTTGTACTTCTTGCTGGACACCCTGATAAATTACAAATTACCATACGAATATTTTTCGATTAACGTTGAATATTAAGAGGTCTTCCACCTCGATTCATTTTAAAAACATATTTCAAATATAAAATAATAATAATAAAGATTTCCGGCAAAGAGAAAAATTGATGTTATGTTTACTTTTGACTGACATAAAATGTAACAAACGTTAGGTAGCAAACCAAACAAGTAATATACTTAGGTATATTAAATTCGTCAGATACTAAAAAATCACATGAATAGAATAAATATTTCATATTTTGACAAACTTCGTGGCATATAATCAATGTGAAAATCAGTAAAAAGTGTATAAAAAATTTTGTCACTTATTTTGCTCTAACTTTTTTTTATAATAAAAATTCATAAATATTTGATGTTCATGCGCATATAAATTAAATCATCTTTAATTTAAGACCTTAGCATAGTGGGTCAGAATGCATAAAAAGTTGTCAAAAAATGAAAAATTGAAAAATTCAATTCCAACTTTTAATTACATTATTTCAATAAACAATAAGTCAAAGTTTGATGAAATATAATTTTTAGCTCTTTTTAACTGCGTATTTTCATAGAAATATGTTTTAATGTCGACCTATTTTCAACAGTTATGTTCGCGCTTTTTTTTTATTTATCAAGGTAAGGTTTGTAACCTGATTAAAACGTACAATGTGACAGATTTTGAATTACTTATCATGAAATCTTCAAATTCAGGTATTTAATTAAATAAATTAAAACAATCCGTAAACGCGCAAGCACTTTAAATTCCCCATGTAGAAGGATCATTTTCAACAAGCGAAGTTTCATAATTTTCAATATCCCTCATTATACAATGAATTTCTTTGAAAATTGAATTTATCTCCTTATTCTGTGTTAAACAAAATCTACAAAAGCTATTTGCACGAAAACTTTCCAAAGATCGAATGCAATCCTAGGTTATCGCCCACAATTAGTGCCAAATCAAAATAAAGGGTTTTATCACCTGTAGGAAGATTTAAGGTAATTTCAATAGTTTGCAAAAATTTTATTTCTTCGATTAATTTCTGAAAAACAATGAAATTTGTAAAGGATGACCTATCTAAACTATTAAATAACATTAAAAAAAAATATTTTCAATTTTGGACACAAATCGTGGAGGCAAACATGGTATGCTTATGTAAACGACACCAAACTTTGCTATTCCCCTGTGGCTACCTAAAGGATTATTGTTTTCATAATCGTCGAAAAAAAGCAGCAGTGGATACACATTTTTCGACTTATCATGATTTTCTAATTTTTTTTTCCAATGAGGACTCTGAATGATATTTGAAATGATTTCTTTTTATGAATTAAGTGATTCGATGTACTTTTCAGTCTCCTCAAATACTCCAGGAATTTGAAAAAATTGTTTAAAAACTTGTTTTTTTGATTTTTTGATTTAGGGCACCGGAAAACTTTTAAATCAGAATGTGTAAGTTTCACATGTTTTAAAAAAATCTAATTATTTTCAAAAGTTTCGTTACACGATTTACAAATAATCATTTCGAATATGATAATACGTTTCTAATGAATAGGATTCTTAAAAGCCTCTTTTACTTATCCAACAAGTACTTTTACTGACTTATTTGCTTTTTCGTCAGGAATGTCAAAGCCAGCAATTTGAATAAATTGCCACAACCTGTAAGCAGCTTTTGAAAAGCTGCAATCCAACGAAAAAAAAATTTTAAGTGTAAAATCAAAAGCATCTACTATTGAATCACTCTTGTACCGTACGTTGTCCAAAACAACATACACTTCTGAGATCGCTGTCAGATCACCAATGATAAACACAGTTGGCTGTAAAGTTTCTTTCCTCTCTAATATGCACTTATTGTTTAGAGATTCAATCTCCATCTCTAAATCCGCAATTATCTGTTAAAAAATGGTAAATTACATTTCATTCTAAAAAGAGGTATTCTCTTATATTGATAATAAAACTGACCTTCACATTATAAATGATAGTCTCTTGAATTTCTTGAAAATTATATTTTTTAAATTCCACTGAGGATCCATTTGCTTTTTTTCTCCCTGGCGAAGAATTGCAATTGATTAAAAGTTGCAATAAGTGCAAAACAACAGCATCTTGATAATCTGAAAGTAATTGGTCTGATGTATTTCGCAAATCAAATTAAACTTTCTTAAAATCAACAAAATCTTAACAAGTTTTCTTACTTGAATCTAATGCAGGTAGTAATTTGATTAACGCCAGATCATCAAGTGTATTCCCAACTTTTTTTTTATTGACAACCTTATCGGCGTATAAGTTTAACTGGTTAATAATGACTTTTTTTATTGTTGGCCACCTCGTGCGCAA